GTAATTGAAATTTCTCATCATTGAACTAAATATTGTTTTATGCAGTCCATTTAAAGATTTGGTTGATATCCGCCTGGAGTCTTTCAGTGTCATCAATGGAGGACATGGTCATGCAAATTCGGGTGTCATCTGCAAAGGAAGACACGGTGCTGTGGCTGACATCCCTGTCTATGTCAAATATGAGGATGAGGAATAGGATGGGAGCGAGTACTGTGCCTTGTGGAACAGAGCTTTTCACCGTAGCCGCCTCAGACTTTACTCTGTTCACTATTACTCTTTGTGTTCTATTTGTTAGGAAATTATAGATCCATCTACCAACTTTTCCTGTTATTCCTTTATCACGCATTTTGTACGCTATTACATCATGGTCACGCTTGTCAAAGGCTTTTGCAAAGTCTGTGTATACTACATCTGTGTTTTGTTTGTCTTCTAGAGCATCCAGGACCTTGTCATAGTGGTCCAGTAGTTGACAGACAGGAGTGACCTGCTCTAAATCCATATTGCCCTGGGTTGTGTAACTGATGGGTATCTAGATGGGTGGTGATCTTGCTTCTTAGAACCCTTTCAAAGATTTTTATGATAAGGGACGTTAGCGCTATTGGTCTGTAGTTCTTTGTTGTTGCTTTACTGCCCCCTTTGTGGAGTGGGGCTATGTCTGTTGTTTTTAGCAGCTGTGGGACGACCCCTGTGTCCATGCTCCCTCTCCATAGGATGTTAAAAGCACACAGTTCTTGATGAACACGGAGGTCCATGAGTCTGGGCCTAGGGCAAAGTGCATGGGCATGTCTTTTATCGCCTTTTCAAAGTCATTTGGCATCATGATAATATCAGATAGGTTCGAGTCTACCAGATTCTGTCTCTCTCATAAAAAATTTATTTAGGTCTTCAACTCTCAGTCTGGTTAGCGGCTCGCTAAAAACCGAGTCATATTGGGACTCGAGTAGCTTACTCATTTCCTTGCTGTCATCTGTGTTGGACCCATCTCGTTTAAGTAGGGGCCCAATACTGGATGTTGTTCTCAACTTTGATTTGGCATAAGAAAAGATACATTTTGGGTTTCTTTCAATTTCAGTTATGGCTTTTAGTTCTTCCCACGTTTCATGGCTCCTGTAAGATTCCTTTAGCCTTAGTTCGATTTTTGCCATTTCTCTGACAAGTGTCTCCCTACGTATTACAAATATATTGGCCTCTTTTAGCCGCTCTGTTATTCTTTGCCTTCGCCTGTACAGGGAATGCCTTTCTCTTTTTAGTTTACATCTCTTTTTCCTTAAAGGAAATGCCTTGAGCATACCTTGAGTGCCACAGAGTTAATTTGTTCTAGACATACGTTAGGGTCCATGTTACTTAGGCTATCTTCCCAGTTCATATCATTTAGGACCTGGTTTACTTGATCCCACCTTATGTTTTTGTTAGTGAAGTTGAATTTGGTGAAGGCTTCCTCATGACTGATCACATTTTGATAAATTAGACACAAGTGGAACACTTTGGTATCTTTTTGAGGAAACGTTTCCCCACTGTGTGGCGAAACATTTCCTCATTAAAGATACTCAAGTGTTGCACTTGTGTCTAATTTATCAACTTGTTGGTTCTCTGAGCCATTCATCTATTCTACATGATCACATTTTGTTGGTCTGGGGCCCCGTGCATACATGTCTGAACCTCTATTATGTTGTGATCTGAATATATTGTTTTTGGTATGGTAATGTTTCGTATCAGATCATTCTAAGTGAAGATGAAGTCCAGTGGTTTCTCCAGTCTTGTAGGCTGCATTATTTGCTGCTTTAAGGTGAATTTGTTGCAGAAATGTACTCACCTAATTGTGGTTGTAGGGGTCGAGACTTAGCTTCTGGCCCCGCCTCCTCACTGATCGCTACTAGGTCCTCTCTCTGCTTTCTGAGCTTTGTCATACCTCGTCTTAAAGCTATGTATGGTTCCTGCCTTCACTACATCACTTGCTAGGCTATTCCACTTCCTGACGACTCTGAAGAAGTACTAACATCGCTGTGTCTGAGTCTACAGCTTCCAATTGTGATCCCTTGTTTCTGTGTTCCCTCTCTGGGACATCCTGTCTCTGTCCTCCTTGTCTATTCCATGCATTAGTTTGTATGTTGTTATGTCTCCCCTGACCTTCCTGTCCTCCAGTGTCGTCAGTCCGATTTCCGTCCATTCTTCATAGAACATTCCCCTGAGCTCCGGAACTAGCCTTGTTGCAAACCTTTGTACTTTCTCTAATTTCTTGACGTGCGTGACCAAGTGCGGGTTCCAAATTGGTTCTGCATACTCCAGTATGGGCCTGACGTACAGAGGGTACAGTGTCTTGAACGATTCCTTACTAAGGTATCGGAACACTATTCTCAGGTTTGCCAGGCGCCCATATGCTGCAGCTGTTATCTGGTTGATGTGTGCCTCGGGAGACGTGCTCAATGTTATGGTCACCCCAAAATCTTTCTCCTTGAGTGAGGTTTGCAGACTTTGTCCACCTAGCCTATACTCTGTCTGCGATCTTCTTTGCCCTCCCTAATTTTCATGACTTTGCATTTGGCAGGGTTGAAATCGAGAAGTCAGTTGCTGGACCACGTGTCCAGCCTATCCAGGTCTCTTTGAAGTCCTGCCTGGTCCTCATCAGATTTAATTCTCCTCATTAACTTCACATCATCTGCAAACAGGGACACTTCAGAGTCTATCCCTTCCACCATGTCATTCACATAGATCAAAAATAGCACTGGTCCTAGGACTGACCCCTGTGGTACCCCGCTCATCACAGGAGCCCACTGTGATACCTCGTCACATACCATGACCAGTTGCTGCCTTCTTCAGGTATTCTCTGATCCATTGCAGTGCCCTTCCTGTTATATGTGCCTGATCCTCCAGCTTCTGCACTAATCTCCTGTAAGGAACTGTGTCAAAGGCCTTCCTGTAGTCCAGGAAAATGCAATCAACCCACCCCTTTCTCGTTTCTTACTTCTGTTAGCTTGTCATAAAACTCCAGAAGGTTTGTGACACAGGATTTGCCTTCCATGAATCCGTGCTGGTTGTTGTTAATAATCGTGTTTCGTTCCAGGTGCTCCACCACTCTCCTCCTGATAATCTTCTCCATGACTTGGCATACTATACACGTCAGAGACACTGGTCTGTAGTTTAGTGCCACATTTCTGTCTCCTTTCTTAAAAATGGGGACTACATTTGCCGTCTTCCATACCTCAGGTAGTTGCCCAGTTTCAAGGGATGTATTGAAGATTGTGGTTAGTGGCAAGCACAGTGGCCCTGCTCCTTCTCTAAGGACCCATGGGGAGATGTTGTCCGGACCCCTCGCCTTTGAGGTATCGAGATCACTTAGCAGCTTTTGCACCTCCTCCTCTGTTGTTTGTATGTCATCCAGCACCTGTTGGTATGTTCCCCGTTGGTGTTCCCCTGTGCTGTCTTCTCGGAACCATTCCTGTCTCTACCGTAAATACTTCCTTAAATCTCTTGTTGAGCTCTTCGCATACCTCGTGATCATTACTTGTGAGTTCCCCACCTTCTTTCCTCAGCCAGATCACCTGGTCTTTCTCCTGATGTGGCTGTACAGCAGTTTCGGGTCTGACTTTCGATACTATGTTATTTTCATACTGTTGCTGGGCCTCCCTCCTTACCTGTGCATACTCGTTCCTGGCTCTTCGACAAATCTCCTTATTTTCCTGTGTTCTTCGCCTTCTGTACTTTTTTTCATACTGTTGCTGGGCCTCCCTCCTTACCTGTGCATACTTGTTCCTGGCTCTTCGACAGATCTCCTTATTTTCCTGTGTTCTTCGCCTTCTGTACTTTTTACATGCTCTATTGCACTTGGTTTTTGCCTCCTTACACCGTCGGGTAAACCAGGGGCTCGTTCTGGTCTTCCCATTATTTCTGTTGCCCTTGGAAACAAACCTTTCCTCTGCCTCCTTACATTTTGTTGTTACGAATTCCATCATTCCATTTACCGACTTTCCTACCAGTTCTGTCCCACTGAACCTCTTGCAGGAAGTTCCTCAAACCAATGTAGTCCCCCCGTTTATAGTCTGGCTTTTCCCGTTTGTCTCCTATTACCCTCTCTACTTGTAGCTCTATGTATTCAAAGCACAGAACCACGTGGTCACTAGCTCCTAGGGATCTCTCTTATGTGATGTCCTCAATGTCTGAACTGCTCAGGGTGAACACAAGGTCCAATCTTGCTGGTTCATTCTTCCCTCTCTGGTAGTATCCTTAACATGTTGATGCAGGTTTTTCAGTACCACATCCATCATCTTGGCTCTCCATGTTTCGGGACCCCCGTGTGGTTCCAGGTTTTCCCAGTCTATCTCCCTGTGATTGAAATCCCCCATAATCAGTAACTTTGCTCTGCTCGAATGAGCTCTTCTTGCCACCTCAGCCAATGTGTCCACCATTGCTCTGTTACTCTCTTCGTATGCCTCTCTTGGCCTCCTGCAGTTCTGTGGTGGATTATACATCACTGCAATGACTACCTTGTGCTCTCCAGACTTAAGTGTACCTACTATGTATTCTTTTCCTCCAGTCTCATCCATGCCTCCCATTTCCTCAAATTTCCATCAGTGTTTTTCCATCGGTGTGTGTGAGTTTTCATCTGAGCTGCCTCCTGGTGTTATCTCTGCTACAACATTATTTGCTACATTCCTCTATTTTAGGTGCCTTAGGTTGAAATCCTTCAGGAGCTGGAAGATTTTCCAGATAGTGATCAGTTTTCACAAGCTGTTCCTGGAATTGTTGGGAAGTTGCATTCAGAGGATTGTATACAACCACAATGACCAGGTTTTGGTACTCAATCTTTACTGCCAAAACTCAACTACATTTGAGGTATTTAGTAGTTCCGAGCACATGAGTGACTCTGTGTCCACTTTGAGAATTAGGAGGTCTTGAAGCTCAAGTTGCTCCAGAATGTTGGCATCACATATCCGGAAATTACGTTGAACAATGGTATGAGGCAGAACTATGGTACCACTGGAAGAATTGAGAGAAATGTATTTTCAAATTGTGACAAGAATATCATCTCTGGAGGTAAGGAGGGTAAGATTGTGAGCCTGGCCAGCAGTTCGTCCCATGACGATACACGCACCACTCTCAAGCACATTAAAGGAAATATTTTGACTAACATGGTGCAGGAGTGCCTTGCTGATACTATGATCAGAAAGATAGTGAGAGATGCCAGTTGCAGAGTGGTTGCTTGGGTGTGGGACTTGAGGTGGTCCGTCCTGAGATGGGCTGGGGATCTGAAAATTGTCGCACCATAGAGGGAGAAGCCAGAAGCATGGTCAAAGATGTGCAGAGGTCGGATGTATCAAAGGCGTCAGACAGAACCTCGTACCAGGAGCAGGCAACGAAATGTTATCTGACATTTTATTATAATCTCCACAAGGAATTTCATATATTCCAGCACCTTCTTGATTACCTGTCACATTTTTGTGTCTTGCATGTTCCCATAACTTTATAATATTGCAGGCATGTTACCTGTGGGCAAGATTAAGTACGTATTTGTAAATGTGTTATTGATTTTGGGTATGTTAGCTCTCTTTGTGATTTTCCTCCTACAAACTTGCATAAACAATGCAGGATTTCATACAGTAAACCCTTGAATAACACGCATTTAAACAAAACATTTTCGTGATATGGTTGAAAATTTGCATAGCATACAGTAAAATTTGAAATGCAGTGCAAAATAAAATAGGGAGAAATATAGCATGCTATGAGATCTTTGCCCTCCACCTCACAGTCAACCTACGAGCAAGGCCATTGTTTCTGTGGAGGAAGGCCTGGTTTTACTGTGAATGTAAGCAACCTCCCATGCCATCAGTTCTCCATGTGTACGCATCCCATTCCATATTCAGTTATGTATTAGTGAATCGATTTCTGATCTGTTCATCAGCTCATCTTATCTCTGGATAGTAACCATGGCACCCAAGAGGAAGAAAAATAATGCTGGAGGTGCCAAGAAGCATGAATGTCTGAGATATTAAATAAGATCAAGATTTGTGCTTGTGTGATGGAGACTGCAAATCATTAGTCTCAATTAAGCAGCAACTTGCACAATTATTATAATTAAAAAGAAGTGCTAAACCTACAAGGGTCATACAGTGCAGCAGGGCAGGGAAGGGTATGGGGGTATTGGGTAGCAAGAGGGAGAGGGATTATTATTAGGTCATGCAGTGCAGTGGGGCAGGGGATAGTTTAGGGGTAGAGGGTAGCAAGAGAGGTGCTAGAGGCATCATCATCAAAGTTTGTGCAGTATGTAAGTTGCTGTCAAAAAAGTCAACAAGAGAGTCAGGGTTAAAGGAGGGTCATCAGCAAGAAGGGAAGATAAAGTAAGGGCATTGAAGCACTGACGACGTCAAAGGTAAATTCTGCATGCTCGTTGATAGACTGAGCAGTCCAACAGAATATGGCTAACAGAGCCTGGAACCTGACAATTCTCACAGAGTGGAACAGGGTGCCTCTCCACAAGATACCCATGAGTACAACGAGTGTGGCCGATGCAACGATGGGAGAGCATAGTCTCCCACCCTCGACACTGATGACAAGACAGCCAGAAACCTATACAGTGATACCTCGACTTACAAGTTTAATTCATTCCGTGACCGAGCTCATAACTCATATATCAAATCAATTTTCTCACTGAAATTAATTGAAATGCCATTAATCTGTTCCAGTCCCCAAAAAAACCACCCCAATTTCTTGGTTATGGGTTTTAAATAAGAAAAATGTATTTATAAATAAGAAATATTGTATACTACACCCACCACCCTCACTACTCTAGCCACCACTATCAGTACTAAACCCACCACCTTCACTATTCCACCCACCAACATCTCTACTACACCCATCACCCTCACTACTCCACCCACCACTATCAGTACTCCACCCACTATCTCTACTACACCCACCACCATCACTACTACATCCACCATTATCAGTACTCCACCTACCTTATTAATGTTTCTGGAAAAACTCTGAGTGTTGAAATGGAGGTTACCTCTTCCCTAGATTTATACGAGAACCAAACAAAGGACGAAGTGCCTCACTACAATCTGGGATTAGTGTGGGAGTATTATCCTTCCAGTTATGTCTTGGAAGAGCATGTGGGATGGGACGAAGTACCTGACATTCCTTTGGTTACAGAGTTGGATTTGACTTCAGATACACCGCCAACTAGTGGCAGAGTATCTGAAGCTCGCTCGTAACTTGGATTTTGGCTCGCAACTCAAAGCAAAAGATTGACCGAGTGACGGCTCATAACTCGGAAAACTCATAAGTTGGGGCACTCGTAAGTCAAGGTACCACTGTACGTATACTTGGTTTATAGAATGCAATTTGTTATGTAGCAGATCAGACCAACATTATTGCCAATGATTATGAAGGTGGGTAGAAGTCACAGCAAAATAGTCTATGAATGGAACACCTCTATATGAAACTGGGAGGTCATATACTGTTGACTGTGCAGCAGCATCTGCTGTTCATTTCCCTGTACGTCAC